GCAAAAATACATTTTGATTCGATTTTCAGATTGTCTTGAAGTTTTTTTTTTTGCTAATATTCGAAAAATATACGATATGGGTTAGCACTGTTATAACCGTAGTGGTGGTGGGTGTTGCCCACTTGCTCTTTTCTAAATACCTGATGGTACTTTTTGGAGGAGTCTACTACTATACAACTCTTGTAATTTGGACGAGATTTTGATCATGCTTGTATGGATTTTTTTTATTTAAACAGTGATTTAAATTGTCATTAATTGTAGTGAAAGTAAATTGAAATATTTATTGGTTTCTTTAATGATGTCTTTAAAAATCACAGAAACCATTTATATTCAACATAATGAATACTTAAACTGAGATAACATGTTCATGAAATAGAATCTTTTGATGTAGGGAATCTTGTTCAAGCTATGGAAGTACAAATAGAAATTTTGTTTAACACAAACAATGAATCCTTAGTCGCGGCTTCAAAAACTTGGAAAAATGACCAGGCTGCGTATTGTTGAAAACAAGTTTAGTGCTAGGATGTCCTAGTTTCCTAACTTCCAACATTGTTCCAGGACATCCTAGAGCTAAAATTGTTTTCAAGAATACGCAGCCTGGTCATTTTTTACAAATTTTTAGCGCTAGGATTTCCTGGAACAATGTTGGAAGTTAGGAAATTAGGACATTCTAGCGCTAAGATCATTTCAAGAATTCGCGGCCTGGACATTATATAAACTCCATTCATTTCATTTCATTTTGGACATTATATACAAAAATTCAACTTGATCACTTATTGAAAAGTTTACATCACTAACATATCCTTTGTAAAGTGTTTGGGTTTACAATGGAAGCCATTTTGACATTGCTATCATCTACAGGTGAATCTGATACAGATGAAGAAACAGACAGATTACTACAGAAACAATACCAAAGACGTGATCAATATGTTGAAATACCAGAACTTACTGAACCACCAAATAGAAATGCTCAAGTAAGTATTAGTGTAGTTTATCTGATACAGGCTATGTTTTCAAGTTGACAAAGCAAGTTGCTGAGTGACATCATGTCTTCTTGGGAATGCTTTCTTGTAAATGACACTCCCAACAGTATTTATTTAAATAATTTTTTTTTGAACAAAAATTTTCAAAGGTTGTATATTGGCCTTAGGAGGAAAAATGAAAGAAATAACTATAACTGTATTTTACATGGAGAACAACTAATAGGTCCACAAAGGATTCAATCTACCAGCTGTTATCCTGTATTATCCATACCCATTTACAATTGGTTCCACTGGAATTATGAGTAAAGTTGATGTTTTCAATTAATCAGACTTTTACGCGCCAATTGAGATCAGGACCCATGACGACCATTTATTTAGTTGACTTTGTGAACTCTCAGAAAAGAAATCAATGGAATAAGGGGAGGTTTTTTTATAAATGAATCACATAGTTGATCTTTTTTCTACTTACAGGCTGAGCTATGTCGTTCTAAAGCAAAAGAAGGTGAGCCTGAATCATGTAAGCTATCAATTTTTATACTAATATAATATTAGATGTTGTTACAGTTGTAATGTTGTAAGTAGATTTTGCCTAAAGTTGGTGAGTAATCCTTCCCATCCACATGTCAGCATCACTGCATATTTCCTTTTTGTCTTGCTTGATAAGTTTATATTACTATCGATTGTCCTGAACTCTCTTTTCCCATGGAATGACTTGAATTGAAAATCAATGTTCTGGTAGCTGTCTGTTTTTGATTGACTGTGAATGTTTGGTAACTGACTTCTAAATAGTTGTGACTCTTCTGATAACTGACACCCGCATTGACCATTACGCTGCTGATAACTGACACCCGCATTGACCATTACGCTGTTGATAACTGACATCCGCATTGACCATTACGCTGCTGATAACTGACACCCGCATTGACCATTACGCTGCTGATAACTGACACCCGCATTGACCATTACGCTGCTGATAACTGACTTCTGAATTGACCATTACTCCACTTGTAACTGACTTCTGAATTACCCATAACTCCTCTGTTAACTGACTGCCAAATTGTCCATCACTCTTCTGGTAACTGACTTCCAAATTGTCCATCACTCCTCTGGTAACTGACTTCCAAATTTACCCCTTTCTTTTCTGTTAACTGACTTCTGAATTACCCATAACTCCTCTGTTAACTGACTGCCAAATTGTCCATCACTCCTCTGGTAACTGACTTCCAAATTTACCCCTTTCTTTTCTGTTAACTGACTTCTGAATTACCCATCACTCATCTGTTAACTGACATGCAAATTGTCCATTACTCCTTTGGTAACTGACTTCTAAATTGCCCCTTACTTCTCTGGTAACTGACTTCCAAATTGTCCTTAACTCCTCTGGTAACTGACTTCCAAATTGCCCCTTACTTCTCTGGTAACTAACTTCTGAATTACCTATCACTCTTCCTTTCCCATCACTCTTCTGGTAACTGACCGTTGAATTTTCCATCAACCTCTGGTAACTGACTTCCATCACTTTCTGGTAAAATGTTGTTTGATACCTTGCTATTCTGTTGACCATAACCTCTGGCAATTTTCTATTCAAATGACCTTAACCACTCTGGTTTCTACCAAAGTTGCCATCAATTCTTCTTGTAACCAACTTGACATTGAATCAGACTCCTCTAATATGTGACTAAATCTATTCCATATTTCCCTCAGTTGATAACTTTCACTTCATTCCAATTACCAATTTTCCATGCCTTATTGTTGAATGCAAAAAATATATAATGAATTCCAAATTTAAGGATTAAATAAATGTTGTACAACAATGTTAATTTTAATGTAATACAAATTTCCAATAAACCTTCTGGCTAGTAAACCAATGGTATCAACAATTTTGAACCTCTGCAACTAAACCATCATTTTTCAAAAACAACTTTTAATTTAGTAGATTATGAAGCTTTGATAAGCTTTCCCTATTCATCCTAGAAAATCAGAGTTACCTACCTTACCATGTGTTGTAAAATTGTCTGCTGTTAGTTTATGTTGTATTGTAGTGTTTGTCTAGTTATAGAGATATTCCCTGTTGTTATTTTTGATCATTAGCTCAATTCCACATTCTTGAAATTTTGATTTGAAAATAATCAATATAGGCTACTTTTTGAACGATTTTATTTTTAGTATTTAATTGATCAATTGGATTAAAATTATGTTATTTTTTTAAAATGGACGTCTGCTTTTTCTGCACATAGATGTTCCAATTGGTATTGTATTTTTTTTTTTTTTTGAAGGATTCGGTTGAAATGTCAATTTTTTTTTGTATGTAAAATTGTATTTGTTTTTAAATGAACACTTATGCTAAATTTTTTGTCTCATTTTTCCCCTCATGCCCTGCATGGAATCTTCCTTTGTCTTTGAATACTAACATCAACCTATGATATGGTAAGTTTGCGATCAACTCCAAGTATTTTTCAATTTTATTCTTCCCTACAAGAATGTTTTTCTGTTCAACCCATTTCTTGATCTTGCTCTTGTCTTTAAGATTTTCTGTTTTGTCAATGGTGGTGATGGCTAAACTTGTGCTTGTTTTTTAAAGCAAAATATGAAAAAAAAAATTAGTCTATTAGATATAAGCATATATATTAAAGGGTTTATGCATTATATACAGCGAAAAAAAGGAAAGGAAATGGTCCTATAATAATGATAAACTATTTATTTTACTTGGGTCAGAATTAGGTTCATTGCAAGAGTTAGACCCAGTCTTACCTTTCACCTCCAATAAAGCAACACAGGCCTGAAATCTAGGAAGAGAAATATAAGACAAATTCTGAAATAAGATTCATATGTCAATAATTATAATTCGGCTAGCTTGCTATGTTAATTACTAATTACAGAGAACTCAATTTGAGATGAGCTTTGATTGTAGGTCTTATTCCTAGTTGGAATTCGTATTAAATATTACAATGCAAAGACCCACTGTTAGCATGAAGGAACTAAGTAAAAAGTCAACTTGAACCCTGATTGAATTTCTTTAGACAACCATTTTTTAAAGAATAGCTCTTTTAATGATCAAGGTGAAAAAATGCGTGGCTTACAAAAATGACCCTAAGTAATGTTGCATAAGATTGTCTTTTAATTTCTGTGATCTGTTTTTTTCTGTTTGTATATTATGTTTCTGGCATGGATTCTATCTTGTTTTGTAACTACAGTCCTGACTCTACTTTCAGTTTCAGTTTTATTTGTAATTGTTGTGTGCATAGGTCAGCATTTTGCATCTTTTTCAGTTAAAATTACATGGTTGATATTTCTTTCTCCTTTTAAATTGTTGTGTTTTCAGTAGAAATAAAACGATTTTACTAACAGCTTCGAATTAAAAGTTATAATTTATTTAAGGGATTGTAAAGAGGTTTTTATAGATTTTTGATATGTATCAGGGACACTGATAGCTTCAATTTGCACCATTCCAATTTTCATTCCGACGGCTGTTAGTTTTAGTGGAATTGCAAGAACCACAGACGTCGGAATGAAACTTGGAATGGTGCAAATTGATGATATCAGTGTCCCAGATACACATAAAAAATTTAGAAAACCTCTTTAAAATCCCTTTAAATTCTCCAACAACCATAGTCTGAGAAACCCTGAATTTTAATTGATTCTCGCCTAGGAAAGGAAGCTTTAAGTTGTTAGACAAGATGAGAGATCATAATATATTCACGGTTATGTTATGATCACCAAATTAGATTTAATCAGAGTTATGTTCTTATCTAATAAACATACAATGATTTCTTGTTTCATGAGTAACAACATGTTTCAGGGTCTGTTTTCATATTTCTATATTTCTAGTATTTGTATTACTAATATAATTATTAAAATACCATATTATCAAAATATTATTTCAACATGAACTTCATAAGCAAATTTTAAGGTTATTTTTTTTTCTTGAACTGAGTTTTTCTTCAACAGCAAACATGAATTTTTCATCAAACATGAATGTTTCATCTTTCTCTGATTGTTTTAGCACAAATTCGAAATCCTGATAATCCTGAAGTCTTAATTGAGGGAGTGTTATTCCGAGCACGTTATTTGGGGTCAACACAGCTGATATCTGAAGGTCAACCATCAAAAGCTTTACGAATGATGCAAGCTCAGGAAGCTGTTGGTAGAATCAAGGTAATTATCCATTATTCTTGAAACTTTATTGATTCAATAGTGTCATTAATAAGATACATGTGTATGCATTATCATTTATCATCAATGGTTTCATTCAATGATTATTGATTTTCAATTTCATTATCATAGGAAATATTAAAAAAAGCATGTATTAAAAATAAATGGACAGATTTGTACTCTGATGCAATTACAATTGTATTGTGATATAAGTACAATAGTAATGGTAATAACATAATTACAATTGTAAAGTTATGAAATTACTAGTAATAATGGTAATGTAATTACAATTGTAAAGTTATGAAATTACTACAGTAATAATGGTAATGTGATATAATTACAATTGTAAAGTGATGGAATTACAATAGTAATGGTAATGTGATATAATCACATATTTGCAAAGTTATGAAATTACAATAGTAATAATGGTAATGTGATATAATTACAATTGTAAAGTGATGGAATTGTAATGGTAATGTGATATAATCACAATTTGTAAAGTGATGCGAAAGTAAAGTAATTGTAGTTTGTAATGAGATTTGACTGCTACAGTGATTGCAATGGATTATAATTGCAATAGTAATGTGACTGTTTTCAGCTGATGTTGAAAGTGGTGTTCATTATGATAACACCATTACCCATTGATTCAAGCAATTTTTTAAAGAAAATTGGCTCTGCTACTAGAAATACTCAAAGGAAATCACAATGAGTTGAAATATTTTTTTAAACAATGTTTTCTTAAAGTACTGTACAAAAAGTAAAGACATAAATTAAATGAAAAAGCTTGATTAAACCAGTAAATTTAACTTTTCTAGATATGAACTTGGCGAAAGTAACCAAGTGTCTTATGTTCCATTTCCCACTAGAGTTTCTATATATCAATTGATAACAGTTTTGTCTTTATAGATTGGACTTGTTGTATGGGTTTTTATCACCTTTGATATTATACTTCATATGGTTTCTTTATAGAATTTCTGATCTAATTCTTTCGTGCTAAATTGACAGTGAAACCATACTGGTTCTATATCCAGAACAATTTAAGTTTCATTAATCCACAACAAATAATACGCTTATGTCTCAAATTTGTCAGTAATATTCTTATGGCATCGCTATAAATGGACTTAAGTATATTAATCTAAGAAGTTCATATTGTGGAAAGTTTCTCTTCACATTGATTTTGGAATGAACTGGCTCTAATATTGCATGTTTCTGCGCTTGACTTCCAATTTTTAATCAGATGTCTGTGCTTCCTACAATTCCATTAAAAGTAAGTGTTTGTTGATGTCACTAATCATAAAGGGCCATATGTCAAAAAGCATATTTTGCGATTAGTAAACACTTAGTTTAGATGGAATTGCAGAAACCACGGATGTCTGACTGAAAATTGGAATGGTGCAAATTTATGCTACCAGTGTCCCTAATACACATAAAATTTTTAGAAATCACTTTTTTTTTAGCTCTCCAAAATAAATATTTTTTTTGTCACACCCTTGTCCCACCAAAATGATTCCAGTCCCTCTTTTTCTCTAGTTTTAATATCTTGTATCACTGTTGCTAAGGACATCAGTATTTGTGTTCTGGAAAAGCAGAAAGGAGTTAAAAAAAAACCCATGAAATTTGGATTTGAATTTCTTTTGACATCATTGTAGCCCAATCTCACATGTTGTGAAACTTTAAAGTTTACCATGCTTTAATCACATGTAAGGTTGTATTAATATAATATATTAATAAATAAAATAATTATTAATCAAATTTTTAATTGTAAATCTAACCATTAGGCCTCGGTAAGTTTAATTGGTGTATGTTGTCAAGTGCAATTATCAAAATTTATTATTATTTGTCTGTGTTTGTAGTTAATTTATTTTGGTATTCACAATGCATGACGTGTTTTGTCACTGAAGACACTATTGGATATGATAAGAAACTATGTATGTTTCTAACACTCAAACATAGTTTATAACCATTTTGAATCTCTTCTTCGACTTTATAAGTCACATTTAAAAAAAAATATATTTCTACTTTGCCTTCAAATCGCATTTAAAAAATAGAAATAGTTTTAAATTTGAAATTTTTAAAGGCTTTGTTGAAATATTATTACCTTTATCAAAATTGCAATAGTGATTCAAAATGGTTCTGAACTACGTTCGTTTTTGTTATTTCCATGTAAGAACCATACATAGTTTGGTATGTACTGGAAATATGTTGAAATTATTAGTATAGTACCGTATTTAAAGATTGATTGTAATGTAGACAGCATGTTGTAGACTAATAAAGTTTCACAAAACATTTTATATTTCTATTATATATTCTCTTCTGCACAACTTTTTTTTCATTATACTTTAATGTCAAGGTAATATGTCATTTTGTAATCAGTAAGCCAAAAAGATTTTGTTTGTTGATGTTAAGGCATATTCTCTTGAAGAAAATTATTTTCCATATATTTTAAAGCTTTTATATCTAAGATTTCACTACTATATATGTATTCAGTACCGTAAGGGAAAAAATGATATTCCAATGTTTTGCACCTTGGTTTGAAGACAATAGGCTTGTCTATGAAAATATGATATCTCTGTAATTAACAGTTAGTTTGCGTTGATGTTGACCATTGGAAGTGTGTTTATTCCAATTGTGTCAGTACATTTACACTTATTAGCAACATTAAAAAAAAAACTTGGCATGACTATTTTGTTTAGTTTCACTTGTATGGAAGGGAATCGTTGCCAAAATATTCAAGATTTTGACTTTACAAAGTCTTATTTCCACTTTTACAAAATACATCTTTTTGAAATCAAAGTCAACCATCTAATTACAAAGTTAAGAAATTCTTAGGACAATCTAACAGTCAAAATTTAAGTGGAGGTTTTGTTTTCAAGTCTGACTTAAAAACATTTGACAACGATTCCCCTCCATATACTTGTTTCCATGTGTTATTCTCTTAAGCTTGCATATACTATCATTTATTTACAACTTCCTTTATCTTGTTAAAGTCTTTTTTTGCAATATATTGATTATATTTTCTATTTAATTCTATGGTTATGTTACCATAAGTATAATTATGATATTTGATGCATGTGTAATCTATAACACCGTTGGCATTAAAAGGACAGATGCGACTATTTCTATTGATGTCTTTTCTATGTATAGCAGTGTTTCAAGGACAGACGACTTGTCTGTTTAACTTTCAAACGTGGATAATTCTGGACACACATTGATTTGAAGGCTCAAATTTCGACAGTGAGCTGTGAACACTATTACTGATTGGCTTAGCTAAAAAATTCTTGTGTCTGAGACTAAGGTATGATGGGTAAAAAAAAAATGGCGCACTGTCCCTTTAATTATTACATTTGAATCATATAGAAAGCACAGTATTTTATTGAAATTGTTCCCAAAACCTTTATTTAGAACTAGGACATTATGGCCAACTGTCTGACCACATTGTTTGCTTAACTAAATATATTTTGCTATTTTTAACCTTACATACCCCCATACTGAGAAAATTCAAAATTTATATTCAATATTTTACACAAAAAAAGAAAAATATTGTTTTTTATATTTAAGAAATTGATTAAACCCTCCGACTTAAGGAATAAATAGCAAATATTGCACATATTGAATATATTTTGCAAGTTTGATTCAGTATCGAATGTGGTCAGAGATCAGAATGTCATTTTTTTAGAATTTTAAAGTATGCTAATATTTAAAGATGTAGGCTGTAAAATGTTTATGTTGAAATGCATGAATTGTTAACCATAATCCTATAATAAATATTAATCCCTCACTTTCAGACGTTGGGCACCTTACATTTTGGTGATAAATTCCAGGTACTTTGATATTTTGATATTTAAGTTTGTTTAAAACTATAATGGCCTTTTTTCTGTCCATCAGGTATATTAAGTATGATGAGACTCCTGAATTAGCTCAATTTTGTCATAAAAGTAAAATATCAAAGTGATATTGAAGACATTGACATTTTTGTCAAGTCTAATATTGGTACAGAGTTAGGGCTGGGCAATATATTGGTATTATGATATATACCGGTACCAGTAAAGCCACTTATATATCATTGGTAATATTATCTGATTAAGAATTTCTGCTATATCTCCTTATCATGATATACATAGTATTTATCATGATATATATATATAGTATTTATCATGATATATATAGTATTTATCATGATATATATAGTATTTATCATGATATATACATAGTATTTATCATGATATATATAGTATTTATCATGATATATATAGTATTTATCATGATATATATAGTATTTATCATGATATATATATAGTATTTATCATGATATATATAGTATTTATCATGATATATATAGTATTTATCATGATATATATAGTATTTATCATGATATATATAGTAATTATCATGATATACCTTTAAATTTTTGAAACAGATGTATTCCATTGGTACTATGAGTGAGTTCTTTTGAAGACATTTATGGATTTTCTTATGTTTTAAACCTTTTGAATGATAAAAGCAACATTTCATTTTGAAAAGCAGTGAAAACCATTGTTACGTGAGATATATATATATTGTGATATATTAATGCTATATATCGTGATATCCAATCAAACTGATATCACCCAGCCCTATACCAATTTATAGTCCGTGGGATGGCCATATCGTATCACAAAGTATATCACAATATTATGACATGACATATGTCAGATTGTCAAAATGACATAAAAATTGCAGCTGTGTGGGTGAATCTCTTGGGTGTCTCCTGTTTTTGTGATATTTATTTTTTGCAGTACATATTTTTTAATCTCTTAAAAGGTCTGAAATCAAAAAACATAAAAAAGGCCATGTTAATTCGTAGCTCACCAGATATTTCATGTTTCAACTTTTGAAAAAATGGATAGTATGTGATGTCATATCAGCTCTCGAGGCCTCCTAGTATCTTAAATTGCAAAAAAAAATGGAAATTTTTTTGTCATATAAAATACTAATTGGAAGCCATGTTTTTAAATTTAATATATGTTCGCTTGTTACACTCAAAAAATCTTCAAACTTTGAAACAATGTTCTTGGAAGAAACAGCTGGACTTTAAATGTTGCTGTTGAAGTTTGATTCTCAGTTCCAACTGTTCCAATTTCTTTTCTGATTCTGTAATGCCAGGAAAATTTTCCAAAGAATCAGATATTGAAGTTTTTTTGTGGAATCACAAATTGTGAGTGCGAAATCAGAATGGTGAAAACCTAGCTTGAATTCCTTTTAAATAAAACAACAATTTTAATTTGCATGGTTTTACTTTAGTCAACTGAATCAGATAACAGCATGCCTTATAGAATAGCTATGTTATTATAATGTTTTTAGCTAATTTTACATGGAGAAAACTAACATCTTATTCTCCAAGCTTGAGAAGCTTTGCGCTTCTTTGCTATACAGAGCTGAAATTTGGTGGTCAGAGTGTTTGATTCAGCTGAAAGTTTTATAAAGTGTAGTTATTTCAATGTATATTATATTACAGGCACCAGAAGGAGAAAATCAGCCTAGTACTGATGTAGACTTATTTGTATCTACTGAGAAATTGATGGTACTAAATACAGATTTACAGGTAAATAAGTCTTTAAAATGAATTTGGTCAAATTGTTTGCACTGAGGTGTGGGATTCCCAATTTTATAAAGTCAATACCTTTGGAAAGCTCTACCTCGAACGAGCTGCTTAATCCAACCTTTGAACTTTTGTTGGATATAGGAAGCATTCTTACTGATACTAACGTTAGTTCACGATTTTTAAGTTGTCTGATTCAATGTTGGTTTTTTTTTTCAAATCCAAACTCAAAACATGATTCCATGGGTCCGTATGATTAATCTGTTAAACTGGAAATCAAACTATGATTATGTTACAGGAGATAATGATGGATCATTCATTAAGAACTATTAGTTATATAGCTGATATAGGTGATGTATTAGTATTAATGGCTAGAAGACGTTTAATTACCAGTCCTGGTGAAGGTCCCAACAGACGACGTCAAGCTAAGATACTTTGTCATGTCTTTGAGTCAGAGGAGGTGAGTTGAATCGTTAATTAGAATTTCTTTATCCAGTTTATCCAGATAGTCTATGACCATGGGGCTAAAAATATATTACACTTCAATTTCACAAAATATTAATCCAAAATGGTTCTGATCATTTGATTGGTCATGAGAATTCAATTTAAATTGACCAATCAGTTTACTATATTGTTGTGTTGTTTTGTGTTTTTTTGTGAATTGTACTTTTGAACATTTTAACCAACTTTCAAATACCAAAGCATATACCAGGTACCTAAACACTCTTTAGAACAATCAGACATTTTTTGCTCTACTACATACATAAGTTGCAAATACATATAAAACAATATCCCTGCCCTTAAGTACAATCATATTTCATATACACAACATATTTAAAGATAGAATAAGTTATAAAGTGTGATTTTTTGTGTCTCATTTATAATCTTCTCGTCCAGTTTGCTTACTCCTTAGTTTGCTGATACACCTAAAGTTCTATACTGGAAAGATCATCTCCATTTTCAAAAAAGCTATTCTGTTCGAGTACCAAGTTAAACTCATCTAGTCTTAAACTGTTCTGTTGATGGCTTACATGTTTCAGTTTGTGCATGAATTGTTGATGGATCATAATGGAAATTGATCTTTTGATAGTTCCTTTCATTAACATGGCGACAGTAAGATTTTCAACGATCTGTTTCATATCAATTATGATAATTTCTCTCAATTTGGACAATATTTCCAATAACAACTAAAATATTCTCATTGTTACAATTGTGTTCAATGCATTATTTTATAGTTGGTGGAAATTTGGTCAAATATGTCTTATGACAATTTTGATAAAACAAATGCATACTTTAAAGGGATAGGTGTGCCATTTTGGGGGGATTGATTTTAGTCTTGAATATATGTTAATAGTTTTCAGAAGTACTTGAAATGTACCAAAATAACATAATTCCTTTAAAAATACTTCAAACTAGGAATTTTACTGACTATTTCTATATGTTTTTTCTATGTATCACAGAGTAACTTAAATTTACGAGTCATCATTTTAACATTCAAACACCACCAACCAATCAAATTCCTGACCTTTCCAATGCTGGGATTTTGTGATGCTAACTAAAGGTGTATTGCTAAAAGCATTAGACACTGAATACACCGTTTGTTTGTTTTTAAAATCCCAGCGTTGGAGAGAGAAGAAAATTGATTGGCAGATGAATGTTCAAGAAGGCATATTTAGACCCTAACTGAGGTAGCTAATTTGAAAATAAAAGCTAATCAAAAACGGAATGGAAGTTTGGTCTAATTTTATTTAAGACTGCCTTCCAAGCAACCATGCTGTAGTTGGTAGATATTGCCTTTCTTTGCAAGTCATCTTTTATTTCCTAGTGCTCAAGTATAATTTGTAAATTCCAATTTATTGTATTGTTGAAAGGAATAATAAAAACACTGGCTTTATTTCTGGAATCAATATTAAAATATTTGCTATAAGTCATAAAAGCAGAGAAGTCATTGATTAAAGAATAATAATAACTCCATCATGGAAATAGATCACAAGACAAAAATATAGATTTCTTTGTTTTTTATCTATATTAGTCGGTTTCTTTCTTCTGTTCTCCACCCCTATTATTATCTCTCTTCATAGATTTTTCTTGTAAATGTGACAATGTGATGGGACATGATAAGCTGTTTTGTCGTGTATTAGTCAGTCATAGTGTATTAGTCAGTCGTTTTGACCAGACTGTCAGCTACTGTGAAATTACCAACTATAACTGATCAAATCTTGGCCTGAGGGAAACACAGACACTACAAATGCAATCAATGACTGTTCCAATCGTTTAACCTCTTATTATTATTCCATTTTAACTTTCTCATTTCTCTTCTGCCTTTCTTCCTAAATATATTGAAGACGAGAAAATTGGATTTATTTCTGTAGAACTAGTTTGGTAATAATTGACAATAAAGTGCCAACTGAATAATGGCGGGAAAATTCAATAAACACCTTTATGCAATAAAAGGCATAATGAAGCTGTCAAACTAGATATGTAAATAAATTGTATTTGAGCAATCAAGTTGGTCCTACAACTATTAGTAATGCTAAATGCTTTCAACTTGGTTGTACTGACAGTGTAACACAAGTTAATGACTTACAGAGCAATAAAGTTGATTTGTTGCTTTGTTTAGTCAAACTGTACTGACTGTACAACACAAGTTAATGACTTAAAGAGCAATAAAGTTGGCACATACAACCACAAGTTGATTTGTTGCTTTGTTTAGTCGAACTCAGACTGTACTGACTGTACAACACAAGTTAATGACTTACAGAGCAATAAAGTTGGCACATACAACCACAAGTTGATTTGTTGTTTTGTATAGTCAAACTGTACTGACAGTGTAACACAAGTTAATGACTTACAGAGCAATAAAGTTGATTTGTTGCTTTGTTTAGTCAAACTGTGCTGACTGTACAACACAAGTTAATGACTTAAAGAGCAATAAAGTTGGCACATACATCACCAGTTGATTTGTAGCTTCGTATAGTCAAACTGTGCTGAATGTACAACACAAGTAAATGACTCACAGAGCAATAAAGTTGGCACATACAACCACAAGTTGATTTGTTGCTTTGGTTAGTCGAACTCAGACTGTACTGACTGTACAACACAAGTTAATGACTTACAGAGCAATAAAGTTGGCACATACAAGTGACACCTTTGCTTAAGTTTTCAGATAAAAAATTTGGTCATAAAGTTTAGATCTGTTTTGATAAAAAAAATCTGTATAAGCAAGACAATTCCATTAATAAAATTAGTCAAAATTGTAGAGTAGTGGACTGCTCTAAAGAGAAGTATCATCAAGTGTTTCAAAAAAGTAAGCATAAGCATGTAGATTAATATGGGTGTATTTAGTACAGAAGATTTCATATCAACTTGTTAATATTATGTAGTGTTTTTTTAATGTTATAAACTACCTTGTCAATCAATAGCTTCTATTGTCTTTCCTATATTGATTCATAAATTAATGACACAAACTTCAAAGGAAAGAAAGTTAACAAGTCTCAATAAAGCTGATAGTTATTAAAGTCATATAGTCATCTATTCCCTCCCTGAACGACAGTAAAACTACAGTACCATTGTGTAGAAAATAACAGAAACATGAGTCTGAACTGTTAATCAAAAATGAAAATTGGATGCAACTGGCAAATCAAATATGAATTGTCAAAGAAAGATAATAGAAAATTTGACTTTGGTTTGTGCTGTAACCGAATTAACCATAGTCACTTTGGGTTTTATCAAATTACCAGAAAAAAGTCCTGAATAACAGATGCAAAATTAAACTTGACATCTTTTGATAGTCTGCTTTAGTTACAGTGTTTAGCTGCTATGCTTAAAATTCAACGACTCTGTTCCTTCAACGCTCAACAAGGAAGATTTTTTCTTGTCTTATTTATATGGTAGAATATTGATTTCATTTTGTGTCACTTGTTGCACTTGATGTGAAAAAAAAATTAATTCCACCCCTTTTTGTTCTGTAGTAAAAGAAATGATTTTCTTTCTGTCAATGAAATTGAATATATCTGAATCAAGGCCGTGAGTATATGGTTACCTTTATCATCTTATCAAATTTATGATCAGATTGTGCTATCTTACAACAAAGAAATTACCTGGAATAGTCTATTGTAGGAAGACTGAACTAGCGAGGATCTCATTGACAGGGAATCCATATGAGAGTGTCCTGGTGTTCATTTACAGATTAAAGAGGGCATTATAGTCATGTTGTAATGTGGGAATACATCAGGACACTTTTGGAAGTGAAAGTAGAATAAATTTTAAAAACTTTATTGCCCAAGAGGGGTCCATGGCCCAAAAATTGCCACCTCAACACCCCACACAGCCATGTAAATTGTCTCAAAAACTCATAAACTTAGAGATGACATAATCTAGTGAATTGATTCAGGTTGTTGATTCAGCTGAAAGTTCACTACCTACACAATATCTGCTGATATCTGTAGTCAATATCACAAACATGGAGTCAATATTTAAAGATGGTATTCGATGACAATTTCTCTCAAATGTTTTGGAACATTCTAACCTGATCAATGGCCTTTTGTTAATTAGCATCAGTTTCCTGAAATTTTGGTTGGTTGATTGGTAGAAGACAAATATGCTTCTAGCAAACTGTTATCGCGGACTAAGTAGTTGATGGTAGTTCTAGTAGTTTCATATTAGTTGGTAGTTGTTGGTAATTGTGGTAGTTGGTAGCAGATCTGGATCAATTGGATGGTTAAACACCGTTGGTTTGGTATTTACGAAATCATCAGAATTGGTTTGGTAGATATTGTAGTGTGGCATGAGTTACTCAATCTCTTTCATTTACTCCAAACCTCATTATGATCATGGTAATTTGAGTGGTAATGGAATGGTATTCATAGAATGCAAGTGAAGTCTGGATTTCATGCACTCCTTTGGGCCAACTTATTAGGATTAACTTGAAATGTCACAAGTAAATTCTGATTTGTAGCTGTTCATTGCTACATGAATCATTGTAAAACAGATCAACCAGTTGAAATGTTATTTTTCAAAGAAACCATTTGCATTGACATGCAAAGAAACCACACTTTGAAAATATTGACAGGAAAGTAGAGATGTTTTTTGAATAATTTTTGAATAAAAAGGCTGTAAAGGTATCAATTGACACTGGGTCACAAGTCTTGATGCAGTATTATAGGAGGCCTACTGTGTAGAATGGGATAAAAATGCTTGTTTTTACAGAGTAAGATATAGTCTATTTTGAAACCTGTTGAATGAGTATTTTGAAAGTAGTGTTGTTTTAGTTCCATTAGCACTATTTTAACAGTGTTATTGTAAGCTGTATTAAATGTTAACATTATTGATAGTAATAGGACATCTGCCTGGGGGTCTAAGAACTTGATATTTCAGTCATGAGTGTTTTAAAGATTCTTAAATTATAATATATCATCGGAATTTAATTTGATGGATTGGGTTTAGTGTAAAATCACAACCATAATATATTACATGACACATATTAAATTGTTATAAAAATACTAACACAGTTTCAATTCAATATTAATTAAGGAAAAAATCTGAAAATAGCATTATGTATATCGTCACATCAAAGGATGCTATTGAGCCAAAAGTAAAAAGAAGATATTTTTGCACTCAGTAACGTTTTAACTGAAGTTTCTGTATGTGTAACTAACCTTTTTTGGCACCAAACTTGTTTGTCTTGTTTGTTGAAATTGATGACAAGTTTAAAATTGAGTTTATTTACAGAAACTAGACAAGGTTCCATTAAAATAAATAGAAGATAGAAAATTGGATTATTGTGAAGCAAGGGTGCAGCTGGTTCTAGCTTCCTTTTAAAACAACTTCAAAACATTTCTAAGACATTTGTAAATCTGATTTTGATTGTATTTTAATTTACATGCTATCATGCAGAGTGACAGATGTGTTTTCAGACCTGAAAGCAATTGGTTTTCCTTGTATAGAATTTGACGCAGCTCAAAACAACGATTTATGGCAGAAACTTTGCAGAAAATCTTAATGTGTCCTTAATTCTGCTCGGCATGGAATGGTATATTACTCTGTTGAAATTGAAATAGAAATGTTATTTATATCAAGTTTGAAGTAGGGCTAATGAGGTTAAGAAAGAAGAATGTTCAGTGTTGCCTTTATTAATGTCACTTGGAAATAAAGAATTTAATCTCTTCTTTTTGATGAAAACCAATTTTAAGAGACATGGTGAAAATTAAATTGAGAATGATTACAAAATACTTGGTCCAATGGAAACAAAATACTTGGTCCAATGAAAACAAAATATCTTGCTCCAATGAAAACAAAATACTTGGTCCAATGAAGACAAAATACTTGGTCCAATGAAGACAAAATACTTGCTCCAATGAAAACGAAATACTTGGTCCAATGAAAACAAAATACTTGGTCCAATGATAATAAATACTTGGTTCAATGATAACAAAATATCTTGATCAAAACATCTTGATCTAATGATAGAAAAATACTTGGTCCAATTATGACGAAATACTTGGCCCATTGATAGCAAAACATCTTGATTCAATGAAAAGAAATATCTTAGTCCAATGAAAACGAAATACTTGGTCTAATGATAACAAACTACTTGGTCCAATGATAACAAAATATCTTAATTAAATGACAACAAAATCTCATTGTCAATTGATAGGAAATATCTTTGTATCAATAAAAGATGAGACCTAAACCCACATACCCTGGTTTTTTATGCAACAGAAGTTTTTGATATTTTTTGTTCTAGACCTAAGTGGGAGAAATTGCATTTAATTTGACAAAAAACATAACACATGATTTATATGATCATTATGTTTCTTACAAAAAGCCGCTCATCAGTTCCTTTAAAGTAATAAAGTAGAAATTTATTGATTAGTAAGATTGATTAAAAACTGGATAAAGTCATAGCAGTAGAAACTAGAGAGCAATTTGATATAGATAATAATAATGATATATAATTATTTAATCTATTGAATATTATAAATCTATAGAGAATAGACAAGTCCAGTAGACTTCAGCTATAATTCTACTGTTTTCCCCTCAACCAGGCTGTCATTAAAGTCATCTCTTATTAAAGAGGCAGTAGTAGAAAATTCATCCCATCACAAATTTCAATGCCTTGATGAATCAGCCCAGTTTTACATATTACTCTTTATTATTCTTAAATATATTTGACTATTTTTCAATAAACACGACTTGCATTTTTCAAACAAAAATGTCATAGAGCTAAATTTGAGAATTAAATTCAGACAAAGAATTACATTAAGACTGAATTTCCTTCACTTTGTTGTAGCAGATGACATGAAATTTATCTTTCATCATAGACTGGTAAAGCAAATGAAAACATACCTTTAAACCAACGACTGAACTTTAATTACATTACCCACCATCAGGTCATTTTTCTTTATTTCCCATCTGGGACACTACCTTTAAGACTACAAAAATCAATGACCAGTAAAATACGTCGACCTGCATTATAGAAATGAGGTGAGACTGTTCTCGTCTAACGAGTTGACGCTAATGTTATCAGCTTACTGCCACATATATTACAGAATCCTCTTAACTTTCTTTGTATGAGATAATGTTAGGCTACTTCTCTTTACATATGTCTGATGGTAGTAAAGGGCTTATTATTTTTACTTGTGATACCTTAGTTCTGTTGATTTCAACTCTTCTATCCAATCTTTACCAGTACAAAAAGTTATTATCTCGTGACTGGAACTCTTAATTTCGTCATAATTATAGACAGTGGTTATCTCATAATTCTTTCATATGAATGGATTTCTTTGAACGTTAAATTCAACTTTGATTGCATTTGAAAGACTATGAACCACTACAGTTTTAACTTGTGTTAAAAATCCTAGTATTACTTTAATATTCAGAAAGGCATTTGAAAGTCAAATCTATTTCAAATTGTACCTAGTACCTGGTGGTTAAATGGTTACAGTGATTAATGGTTACCCAAACAGTAATGCTTAAACCAGGACCTCTCTAGTTTGATATGAAATACCTTGGTTTAAACGGTTATAGTGATATTATTGGTTACCTAAACAGTAATTGGTAAATCAGAACCTCTAATTTATTTTGAAGAACCTTGATTTAAATGGTTACAGTGATTTTATTGGTTACTTCAACAGTAATGCTTAAACCAGGACCTCTCTCGTTTGATATAAAAAAAAACCCTTGGTTTAAATGGTTACAGTGATATTATTGGTTACACAAATAGTAATTGGTATATCACAACCTCTAGTTTGTTTTGAAGAACCTTGGGCTAAATGGTTATAGTGATATTATTGGTTACTTCAACAGTAGTTAGCTAACCAGGACCTCTCTCGTTTGATATTTTGAACCTTAAATGGTTATAATGATATTATTGGTTATTGGTTCAAAAGTAATTAGTAACCTAGGACCTCTCTCGTTTGATATTTAGTACCTTGCTTTAAATGGTTACAGTGATATTATGGTTACCCAAATAGTAATTTGATATTTAGAACCTTGCTTAAAATATTTATAGTGATATTAATGGTTACTTCAACAGCAGTTATCTAACCAGAACCTCACTCGTTTGATATTAAGTATTTTGGTTTAAATGGTTACAGTGATATTTTTGGTTACTGTTCAACAGTAATCAGTAAACCAGGACCTCTCTTGTTTTATGTAAAGAATCATGGTTTAAATGGTTACCCTAACAGTTATTACTTAATAGTAAACCAGGACCTCTCTAATGTGATATATAGAACCTTGGTTTAAATGGTTACCCTAACAGCTATTACTTAGTAGTAAACCAGGACCTCTCTCATGTGATATATATAGAACCTTGGTTTAAATGGTTACCCTTACAGTTGTTAGTAAACCAGGACCTCTCTCGTTTGATATTTAGAACCTTGGTTTAAATGGTTACAGTGATATTATTGGTTTCCTAAACAGTAATCAGTAAACCAATCAACTCTGATAAACTTGTGTTTGTGCCAATCATTTAACTTTATACAAACTCATTGATTTTCTTTCTCACTAAACAGATGCTTTGAAAGAAAGTTTTCTCTCGTTTCATTGCAAATGGTTTAGAGTTTTGTCATCTATCTAATCATTTTGTGGACCATGAATCAGAAATGGTGATTTAGTTTAATTGATGTTGTCTAAGCATGTTAACATGGATGTTTGGCAGCTCTAACCAGACTGAGAGAAAATGGAAATGTTTGGAATGTAAATTCAGACAAGTGACTGACACATATTAGTGAAGTTAATGCCTTTGATATTTCTTTGTGCCTTATTCAACACGACACATTGTGAAATAGAGAAGTAGTATAGAAAAGTTTGGTGTAAATTCGTAACAAAGTTGCTTTGCTTGTACTATTCTTTGGATATTTTGTGGGAGGTGAATTAGTGGCTGTGCTAAACAAATGGAAAATAAATTAGTTTTGTTAAATGAAAATGATTTGAAGTATTCAAGTAGAAAATGGATACAATAATTGGTAATATGTTTGCTATTGGAGGGAACGTCAAAGTACCTTCCTATGGAAACACTAAATATGAACCTCTGGATATAATATATGAAACACATAGAGAGGTAGGTATTTATTTTACACATTTTGTCTAATAATTCATATTCACATGAAATTTTCATATTGAATTTTCCTTAACTTTCAGATATCTATTTTTTTTTCCATTAGATACAATGTCTGAAAAATGTGCACTTCAATTCAATTACATGGTTTCCTGAAGTAGATTTTGCCTTTCAATATTAATTATTCAAAGTTAATTTTAGCGTACGTTAATTGCTGTAGTGGCATAGTCAAGTTATAGGCAATGAGTGTATTCATATACTTTTTTATATATAAACACAAGCAGTCCCCTTTACTTTTACGTCATCAACTACTTGCAAAAAATTTTTAATTGCATACTAAAATCTTTTTTTTTGAGTTTTCATTTTTGTCAAGACATGATTTGTGTTGACTTTTGCGTTTTGAAAGGTTTGAGGAAGCCTTTGGTTTTGGGTCAAACTTATTGAAAAATAATTTCTTTTATGGTGAATTTGTAGAAAAAAAATATGATAAGTGCATTTTCTGCAACCAAACTGTTATTTTGGATTTAACTTTTCGTTTCTGATCGTTAGTACATTGTTTTTTTTTATATGTAATTCTCAAAAAAATGTATTAAGATGTAAGGTTTGTACGCCGCATAACTGATTGCTTGTTGATTGTATTGCTACTTGAGTTTTCTAGCACTTTTAATAAATGATAAAAAAAGAACTGTGAAATCCTAAAATATCTTACTGAATGTGTTTTTCATGCTTTCATTATTATCATAGGATTTGTTAATGGATATGAACAGATCAAATACTACAGAGCAAACCATAATAGCTGATCTTATTTTCAGTAATTCTTGTTTAGACACTAACACTTAAAGAACGATAGTCTAGAAATTTCAATATGATGAAAATAGATTGAATTCCATCAAAAACACATTATGAAACAGTAATCAATGAAAATTGCAACAAAAGATCATTGTCAGAGGATAAATTAAAATGAGATTCATATGAAATCAGGAGACAAATTGAAATTGAATTAAAATGAGATAGCATTATGAAATCAGAAGATAAAATTAAAATGAGATTCACGTGCAATCAAAGGATAAATTAAAATGAGATTTCATGAGAAAACAGGATAAATTGAAATGAAATAGCATTATGAAATCAGAGGATAAATCAAAATGAAAGTTATATGAAATCAGAGTATACATTGAAATGAGAGTTATATGAAATCAGAGGATAAATTCAGATATCATATGACATCAGAAGATAAATTCAGATATCATATGAAATCAGAGGATAAATTTAATGTGAATGACTTTCAAAAATAAAGAGATAATTTGAAATGGAAATGGAATTAATATTTATAGTAATGTTGGAATATCATATGATTTGATGAATTGGTTAATATCAGATGAAATAGGTAATAGTCATATCAAATGCAGGAATATATAATAATGTGAATATCAGAATATCATATGATATAGTAATGTGGTGAATATCAGAATATCATATGATATGATAGTGTGAATATCAGAATATCATATGATATAATAATGTGATGAATATCAGAAAATGATATGATATGATAATGTGGTGAATATCAGAATATCATCTGATATAATAATGTGGTGAATATCAAAATATCATATGATATAATATAATAATGTGGTAAATATCACAATATCATATGATATGATATAATAATGTGGTAAATATTACATTATGATATGATATAATATAATAATGTGGTAAATATCATATGATATAATAATGTGATGAATATCAGAATATCATATGATATAATAATGTGATGAATATCAGAATATATGATATAATAATGTGATGAATATCAGAATATCATATGATTTGATAATGTGGTGAATATCAGAATATCATATGATATGATAACGTGGTGAATATCAGAATATCATATGATATAATAATGTGATGAATATCAGAATATCATATGATATAATAATGTGATGAATATCAGAATATCATATGATATGATAACGTGGTGAATATCAGAATATCATATGATATAATAATGTGGTGAATATCAGAATATCATATGGTTTAATAATGTGATGAATATCATAATATCATATGATTTAATAATGTGATGAATATCAGAATATCATATGATTTAATAATGTGGTGAATATCAGAATATCATATGATTTAATAATGTGATGAATATCAGAATATCATATGATTTAATAATGTGATGAATATCAGAATATCATATGATTTAATAATGTGATGAATATCAGAATATCATATGATTTAATAATGTGGTGAATATCAGAATATCATATGATTTAATAATGTGGTGAATATCATATGAAGTAGGAAGATGATATGAAATTGAAAATGATAATGGGAATATGATATATGATCTTAAATGGGAAAATGAGATGACGTAAGAAGATCAGAAATAGAATACACCTGGTATTGTAATTAAGGTTTCTATAAAGATTGTTAATGTTTATATTTCATGTAGTAATTAGGATGTTGTATTGAAGGTTGGTGAAGAATAAGGACCTGAAATTGATCGATCAGTGTTAGACATAACAATCTCCATTCTTCCACATATAATGAGGTTTTTTTAAGATATTGTTTATGTACTCTTTGAATGTAATGATTACACTGACAACTACCAAAGTCATTATACAGAAACCAATCCCGATTAAACCGATTAACCCTAAATCCAATTTCCCTCATTTCACACATTGCATGTGCCAAGCCTTCATTTACCCCTTGATTGTCGAGGATTGTTCATTAGTTCACGAAACAAAGTCAATTTTGTCATGTTTGTTGGAAGTGTTTTTTTGATTGAAAGCTTGAATATTATTTGGCAGCAAATAAGCCTACACTGTAGAAACAATTTCAATGTATAAGAAGAGATTTCTAATTGAACACTGATTGAAAGGAAGGAAACTGAGCATGCTGTGAATTAAATTATCATTCTTTCCTTGAACAGTTGTGAAAATTGCTTCTGTTCTATAAATCCATGGAGAATTTTTGCTTGAGTAGGTGTTAAATGGTGTTATTGGAGACACATTGAATAATCTCATTGAGCAATATGATACTTTGATGGCACGTTCCCTGGCCATTGCATAGGATGTTTTGAATGAAACACTGAATTAACATTTTTTGAAAGGTTTAAAGGGATGATGTCATCTATTTGTTACAATTATTTTCTGATGCAACTTATCCTTGACCTTTTTCAGAATAAGTTTTACATGTATAGTTTGTGTGTAATTAATTCAATTTTCCAGTCAGAAATCATATTCTCTTAATATTTGGTCTATTTCATTTCTTCAAGCAAACACGATTTAAATATATCTTTTAATTTCCGAATCTTATAAAAGGAACAGGTTCGCCGTTCTTTGGGTGTTGATTTGTGTCTTAAATATGTGTATTAAATAGCCTTCAGAAGTACTAGAAATGTATAAAAATGGCATTATTCCTGCAAAATACTTTCTATTTCTAAGGATGTCTTATCTATATATGACAGAGTCTCAAGAAATAACAAGTCATCATTTTAACATTCAAACGCAGATAATTCTGGATAACATTGATTGAAGACTCAAATTTCAATAGTGAGTAGTGAACACTATTTCAAATTGGTTGAGCTAAAAAATTTCTGTTTCCGAAACTAAAGTATGATTGGTCAAACGGATGGTGAACATATACCTTTATACAACAGAAGCTGAAGTTTTAATGAGATAAAATAGTGAATCTTCAGAAAGAGGCAATTGTATTCTTTATTTTCAAAATATATTGACATTGTAATGTAATCTAGAATGATAAAGACTGACATTGTGTCAAAATAGTTGTTAAGTTGGGAAACAGGCAAAATAAAAATTTGATTTAAGGGAAAGCTATATTTTATAGGAATTTAAGGTAATAAAGATTACCATGAGCAAAATGAATAGCTGTCTTCTTAAAAAGATGATATACAAAACACAATGTTTTATTATTATTATAGAAGCTATTATTATGTCGAAAGAACCTATATGATATAAAAAAAATATATATGAAAAATTATGTATTATGAAATGTTAATAGCAAAATAAGAGAAGCTATATAATGTAAATATTGATATAAAAAAGGTATGTATTATGAAATATTAATATAAGGGAAGCTATATTATATTAATAGCAAAATAAGAGAAGCTATATAATGTAAATATTGATATAAAAAAGGTATGTATTATGAAATATTAATATAAGGGAAGCTATATTATATTAATAGCAAAATAAGAGAAGCTATATAATGTAAATATTGATATAAAAAAGGTATGTATTATGAAATATTAATATAAGGGAAGCTATATTATATTAATAGCAAAATAAGAGAAGCTATATAATGTAAATATTGATATAAAAAAGGTATGTATTATGAAATATTAATATAAGGGAAGCTATATTATATTAATAGCAAAATAAGAGAAGCTATATAATGTAAATATTGATATAAGAAAAGGTATGTAAATTATGAAATATTAATATAAGGGAAGCTATATTATATTAATAGCAAAATAAGAGAAACCATATAATGTAAATATTATATAAGAAAAGGTGTGTAATATGAAATGTTATTATTAGGAATGTTGTATATTATAATATATTAATATATAAGGGAAGCTATAATATATATTATATTAATAGCAATATAAGAGAAGCTATAGGATTTAAATATTGTTATGAAAAAAGGTATGTGATATAAAATGTTAATATAAGGCAAGTTGTATAATATAAGATATTTATATGAGGGAAGCTATATCATATTAAAAGCAATATAATGTAAATATTATATAAGAAAAGGTATGTAATATGAAATGTTAATATATGGAAAGTTGTATATAATATAATATATTAATATATAATGGAAGCTATAATAGCTATATAAGAGAAGCTATATAATGTCAATATTGATATAAGAGATGGTATTTAATATGAAATGTTAATATAAGGGAGATTGTGTAATATAAGGTATATTAATACAAAAGTAGTTATATTATATAAATA